TCTTAACGTTATTTTACCAGTCACAAAGTCGGCTGAGAACAGATTCCTACCGAAATTCAAAATTAGGATTAAGAAAATGTTCTGCCATCAAAATCTATATATATATACATATTATCTCCGGAAAGTCCAGTAATTTCCAGATAATCACAGTAATGATTTACCTGGATAACCTTTTGTCTAGTCATAAAATAATACACTGTAATTTTTTATCTAGGAGTTGCCGATCTTAATTCATATTTTTTCTCCACAACATTTTAAATAGAAGGCTCTGGGATATTTTGAGTCTGATATATTGTTAAGAAAAAAGTAAAATAACAAAAATACCGATCTCCGAAGAAAATTCAAAACGGAAAGTCCTTAATAAAATGGCAAAGTCAAAAGCTCAAACAAATCGAACAAAAAAATTTCAACTGTCATATTCCTGACTTGTTACAGGCATTTAATCATGAAAAATGATGATGATGTTGGGTTGTATCGTCCGGCTTTCTTGGTAGATATTGCGGACTTCAAAGACCTATTCTTACAGTGATGGATCTGCTGTTCTTTTCCCTTTTTTCTTGCTCCGACCGGATGGTTGAGTTTGGTACGGAGTATCTTGCCGTTCTTGTAAGACAAAGGCAGTTTGAATGGCCTCTTGATCTGGTAAGAATATCGGAGAATTATGAGATGGTGTGCGAAGTATGTCGAGGCCATCGATGTCAAATCCCTCTGTACAATCTATCCTGTAACGTTAACTTCTAGGTTTAAATGGAGTGTAGAAGTAACGGCGATGGTATATCTTCTGGGAGTTGTCTGGGTCCTTTGCCTTGATTCATATGAGTTGGGACTGTAACCTGGTTAGAACTGGCGGTACATTTCCAATCTGGTTCTTTTCCTTTTAACTTCATGGTTGATAAAATCGCCTCCAAATCATTCGGTAATTCCATAATAATTGTTCACGAGGTTAACGGTTCAGAATACAGCTCTCATGTAGAAAATGGTGGATTAAACCTGGTTTTATAGTTAAACCTCTCACTTGTATGACAGTCACATAAAATTCCATTATATTGACAACAATGTGTGAACAAAACAAACAGACATAAGAGACACATGTCTATTTTGAAAAATAGAGGACTGTGTTAACCTGTATATTTCTTTTTGTTATTTGTGTCGTTATGTTCTTATCTTACTGTCACAATTTTTAGTTAATTTTTTTACTAATCTTTTTCGAAATCAAACGACACTGCATACATACTTCGTTACACGACAAAATTGAATAAAAAGTATAACATTGTTATTATGCTACTAAGCAATAATAAGGACTTACAAGTCTTCGATGTGAATACACAGTATACTATGATTAAAATACTAAGGAGTTCATTAAATATACAATCATATTCAAAATATATTACATCAATTCAATAATTTGCCCCCACATTTGTCGACAAATTAGTCGTGCTTGGTTTTAGAAAGATATTAATATTCTAATATTTCCAAACGTTTTTTTCAAAATCATAAGGAAAGCTTGCACAAATATTAACAGCCTGTCCAATTAAGAGATCTTACCATAATTAACGTAATACTTTGATACAATAATTTAAAACTAAGTTATCTAAATTGAGGAAAACCTAAATATTATAAAAGGTTTTACCAAATACTGCTAAGGGAATCTATACCTGAGGTAGATGTTATTTGTGTCGTTATGTTCTTATCTTACTGTCACAATTTTTAGTTAATTTTTTTACTAATCTTTTTCGAAATCAAACGACACTGCATACATACTTCGTTACACGACAAAATTGAATAAAAAGTATAACATTGTTATTATGCTACTAAGCAATAATAAGGACTTACAAGTCTTCGATGTGAATACACAGTATACTATGATTAAAATACTAAGGAGTTCATTAAATATACAATCATATTCAAAATATATTACATCAATTCAATAATTTGCCCCCACATTTGTCGACAAATGAGTCGTGCTTGGTTTTAGAAAGATATTAATATTCTAATATTTCCAAACGTTTTTTTCAAAATCATAAGGAAAGCTTGCACAAATATTAACAGCCTGTCCAATTAAGAGATCTTACCATAATTAACGTAATACTTTGATACAATAATTTAAAACTAAGTTATCTAAATTGAGGAAAACCTAAATATTATAAAAGGTTTTACCAAATACTGCTAAGGGAATCTATACCTGAGGTAGAAAATCCTTAGTAATTCGAAATAAGTCAAGTTTTATAAACAGTTCATTTTGTCATTATTACCATATAAGTAATAAAGCATTTTAAGACAAAAGTGTTAACTCAGTCGGGCCGAAATTTTTCATTTCTAATTTCTTTATAATCCCCTGTAACGTAAACATAAATTTTACAAAGAAGCAAATTAGAAGTCACTTCATTACTAAAGAATCTATTTGCGGTAACAAAGAAAAACAAAAAACGAAAAAATAACCAATAATTATTATTCATCATTTATCTATATATTTATGCATCACACCATATACAATAATTTGGATAAAGTATTCCTTTAATCTCTATAAATATAACAATTTCGATTTCAATAGCAGTGCTTTTCGTTCCTTTGTTATCTTGTCTTGAATACGTGCGTGAGTGGATATTCATTTTAAACAGGTACGCCATGTTTGGATAAAGACGGATTAAATGAAGTGCAAGTAAACTGTGCAACTTTAAGATTAAATGCATTATAGGACCTAGATAGATTAAACATCGAAGTAAGGTTTATTTACAGAAGGTGAAAAATAAAGAAAGTTGAGTAAATCATCAAGATTCTCCTCTCATGTTTTACAATTCATAATAACACGAACATTTAACAAAACCAGTAATATTAAAACAATCACAAATAGTCAAAACAAAAAAAGATGCGTATAACATCGTAAATCGTTAATCGTAATTTACGCTTTATCGAAAATACAAACAACAGTACAATAAAACAAACAACAGCAAGCAACATGTGTTGTTTAAATGCGTGATGGTCTTGACTTTTCAAAAAGAGTATGTATATTATCTCACATGAATCTCTAAATAAAAAAAGGGTAACCCAACGTGAAGGGAGGGATAGTACAGAATTTAAATATAAGTTTAAACTCTTAGAAGTTCGGGTTATATAAATATTGAAATATGCTGCACAACCCTATGTTTTGACCTTTGAATAAAGTTGTAGGGCATATTAACTTTCGATTCTAGTATATAATTTTTCACGAAACTTCATAGTAAAAGTGGCACAGTTTTAGCCGTAAAAGGAGTTCCTAAAATAAATAGCATTGTCTATATTTACAGAAATGCAACCTATATTTAGTGACAAGTATTTTGTGTTTCTTTTTTAGTTGATAATTAACAAGTTTCTGGATATGCTGTTTAGCAATTGTTCAAATAAACTCATCATAGATACCAGGATTGAAATTTTATATTTGCGCCATATATCTTGATTCGATGTTTCCAACTAAAATGTTTTTATGTCTGACACAAATAAGGTTTATTGTAAATCGACGATTTGAAAGTATACCCAATACGAAAAGGAAATATATACTGTTGTCGAAAAACTCGAACATCAATGAAAGTAAAATAACATAAATGCCGAACTCCGAGTAAATTCTAAAAAGGAAAGTCCCTTTTTAAAGTAAATGACAAAAACAAAAGTTCAGACACCAAACGAATGGATAACAACTGTCATATTTTTGACTTCGTACAGGCATTGCTATGTAGAAAATTGTGGATTAAACTTGTTTTAATAGCTAGTAACTTTTCACTATTATGACAGTCGCAAAATTTTCCACTATATTGACAACGATGTGTGAATAAAACAAACAGACATAATAAATAGGGTTACAGCAGTCAACATTGTTTTATAATCTTAATAAATATAAAAACTAAGAAATATAGCAACAACAAAACGGCATATTGACAAATCACATTAGCAAAAACGAAAGACAAGGATACACAAATTTACCATAGCACGTTAACGGGATGTACAAGTAATGAACCACGTCAAATGGATATAAGCAAAAATAGACTAATCAGTAATAAAGTAATAATTTACAAACACATATAAAAGAATAATATAACACGTAATTAAAATGATAAACAACGTCAGTACCCAGAATCAATACTCAAGATCATCGTGTATTATTTGTGAAGTTGATACGATAAATCTATTAAAAAGTCTGAGTAGCAGCTGCAAGCTCTTGAATATCGACTGAGTTGGGAATTGTATATCCCATATGCAGGTGAAGTTGGTATATTGCTGCTAAAGTGTGGGTGCTTTTTTGGAGGGGGAGGTGGGGGAATTGGGGAATTGAAAAATATAAAAAATAAAATCGTCTCGTTTGTCATAGATTCTGGTACTGAGATGACTGCTTATGTCAAATTCGAGGCATAAGTCTAAAAATGAGACCGAGGAAGCCGTGCCTGTTGTTTCTTTAGATTCTAGTTCCGAAGACATTATCGAAATACGCATCCAGTGAGGTAAAATTAGTACCGTTAAATCTATTACTAGCACTTGGTAGATGCCTCAGCTGATGAGCTGTAAGTCCACGGGGGTTACACCAACCCTGTCGAAGTACTGGCATACACATACGGCTATCATTTTAGTGAAATGTGCTGTTATAACGTTTTGAAACTATTTTTAAACTACGGAATATAACTTCCTAATTACAAGCTCTTATTACTTGTCCCTATTTGTCTATTCGTTATGTACTTTCTTAGTTTGATCAGCTCTTCAACGTTTTAACAAAGAAAGATAAATATCGGAATAAAAAGAATTTGTCTCAAAGTAAAAAGACGAAAAATGCTCCAATGTTATTGTACACCATTTTGCTTTAGCTAGTGTAGGTAACTATACAGTTCATACAAGAATTTGAAATATATCATCTTGACTTTGATGGAAACAGAGAAAAGTGGGCGTCGCTCGAGTTGAATAATATACGTTTACAGAAAAATGTCAATTAGCAAAAGGAACAATCATTCGTTTGTTAATCTGTTATGAAATAGACGAACCTGTTTTATGTTATGTTTCCAGTCACAAAATCTGCTGAGTACATATTCCCATTGAAATATTATGATTACGAATTTATCTGCTATCAAATTCTATAAATATACATAATTTCGGAAAATCCAGTTGTTTCCAGCTGTTTACATACCTGGATAACATTTTATCAAGTGATTGAATAATCCATAGTAAATGGTGATCCAGGAAGTGTCGATCTTAACTTTTCTTTGTATTTACAATATTTTTTTAAAGCTCTGGGCTATTTATAGGTTGATGATATATCGTTCAAACACATATCTCTTGAGGATGACTGTGGGCTGACCTGTATTTTTTCTTTCGCTTAGGTGGGTGGTTTGGTTCCTAGCTCAGTAGTCGGAACTACCGTAATGACATTCATAACGAACTTTCTAAAATTGTTCGTTTATTAATTTTGAAGTTTTAAAGAAACTGAGGTTTCAACTCCCTCAGGCAAAGTTGACCTTAGAAGAATTTGGCTATTTTTTATGTACTTTTGGTCATATAGCTCTGTAACTGTTTCGGTTCTTATTTACATCCATGGCTTTTAAATATTCGGCTTTGAGCGTGCCTGATGAAGGTAAATCCAGAAAAGCGCTTCAGATGCTTTAAATTTATAACGTGTTTTTTTTTAAATTTTTATTGAATTTTAATCACAATTTTGTTCAACTGCTATAATCATGACCTCCCTCACATAAAAAAAGAAGAAAAGTTAAATTTGCGATCTCACCAAAACAAAACATATCTCTTTATTGTTTTCATGTAGAGTAGCACAACAGAAATAACAGTGAACTCAAAGGGTGAATCATAGGCAAATGTATCAACTCATCATAGATACAAGGATTACAATTGTGTACGCCAGACGGTTGTTTCGTATAAAACTAAGACTTACAAGTTTGAGCTTCCTAAAAAGCTATGAACTGCTTAGCTCTATCCTAATTTAAGTTAATATGTGTGCATGTGCATGTAGTTGTTGATTAAGTATTTGAAATGTGACTTTTTTATATATTGATTTATATAAAATGGATTTACTTTAAAGACCGGGGCTAGTGTATAAAAGGGTGACAATCTATGAAAATATGAATATATTCAAATTTAAGGCAGGGTTTAGGTCTATGGAACATTTTTTGATATTTCTTATTCATTACTTCCATTTTTTACTATAAAAAAGTGTACAGAGGTGGGAACATAAACAAGAATTATTGAGAGCTAAACAGATTGAAAAAAAAATCAAATTAATAATTAAAACATTTTAAAATGAAATTCTGAGGTGCAAGAATTTTCAGATTCAAATCTTGTGATTGACAGATGGGGAGGAGATACCCATGGCAACAGGTTCTTGTTAATCATGTAAATATTTACACAGGAAGTAGTGTGAAACATGTGAATAAATTCATGTCTAGATTATACTTCATGCACTTATGGTATGATAATCCACTTACCAAACAACATGGGAATAAGTATTATTATCCTAGTCAGTGTATGAAGAAATACAAGGAATGGTCACTGATGAATGTATTTTATACCACAGGAATTATATAAAATCTGTATCAGTATAAGTTTCAATTTCACAGATAAACCATGTATTCACTTTTTCTGTATATTTTTTACCATGAACAGAATAAGATATTTCATGAGGTTTGGGTTTAAAAACAATATTAGGTAAATAAAGGATTATCAGTTGTAAAACTTTTGACTTGACAATTGTTATTCCCATAGGTGGCCCATGTATGGAATGTTATCAGGATTGGGGGGCCAGTTTCGCACAAGTTTCAATACACAATTTGGCATTATATCTAGTTTATGCCAGATAAAATTTTCGAATTTTGGATCACATGCCTAAGCTTGTAATTTTTTTTCCTGATATCTATCATCTCTCCAAACATCCCGATGATACATCATTGTCCAAAAGTATTTATATTTTTCCTTTCTCAAACTGTTATTTCTCCTGTGTCTTTGCTGACACTTGGTCTCCCACCACAATTGTCTGTTGCTTTCATATCAGTAATGCATGGTTTACACAAACAGAAAGGACATTCGTCACTATCTGCATTTTGCTGAATAACAAATCTGTTTTCACCTGTTTCCTCATTTGCATTGTTATCATCATTTTCAAGAATTTCATCAGTTTGGGTTGTTTCATTGACACATGTTGCTTGTTCACCATTTAATTCTTTCACATCCCAGTTATAGTATCCAAAAAAACTTAGAATTGTTTCTTTCTGTTCTTCGTTTACAAAAAGTGATAATGTGGTGCTCTCATTTGACATATTTGATGAGATGACCACATTTCTATGTAGAAACTTGTGTAAAAACAACTTTCCCTCCAAAATTGTTATCTAAGATTTATGGACAGTATCGTGTTCTATCACATGGCATGGAGGAATTCCTAGGACGTTCTATTTGTTTTATTTATTTTGTTTGTAGAACAGATGGGATTCCACAGATATCATAAAAATAAGAGTTTTATCCACAACTTTTATATGAAGAAATTAATCAACCAAGTTAAAAGATAAATAATAGGTGTTGTCATGCTGTGATCCCTGGTTAGTTTCATGTAGCATTTTACTTATGGATCAGTACAGGATAAATTTATTAGTTCTGTTATTTTCTTAAAATGATTCATATCATTGATGTCTTCTTTTTATCTATAAAAAAAAAGAGGATAATTCAAAAAAAAACAAAAAACAACATTTTAATGAGCAAGTTAGATCATTTCTACATGATTACAGAACTCCTGTTGATACAGGCTCATACATAATGTAGGTATCGAGTTTCCCTCTTATACTTAGGTCCATATTGTGCAAGTTGTTTATACCTAAATGATGGAAATGAATCTAAAAGACCTCCTTGTTTCAAAATTTCTATACCTGGTGATGAAATAAACTCCATTTATCTGTGATCACATTTTTGATAGACAAGACAGTTTTCACAACTATGAAATTCTACATAAAAATTTGGAATTGTGGCCAAAAAAATTAAAAAGTGGATTAATTGTATTTAATTGTTATTTTTCATTCTTTATATTTAATCTGAATATTAATCATGTAAATAATGTGTACAGTAAGTTATTTTATTTACATACATTTCCTGTCCATTTCAACATGTTTTATTGTTTACATTATCATCATCAGCTGTTTAATCCATTTCTTATCTATCTTAAGACCGCCCATATCCAAATAGGCTCAATTGCTGTAGGGGTGTAAAATTTTCTAGGTCATCCCCGGTCTTTAAGAGTGTGCCTTATACACCTATGCTTTTAAAATTTTGTTCACTTTACTTGATGAAAATTCAAACATTTACAATTACACACGACTCATGAGGTGTGCCTCTCTGGAGGTGTGTCCAGATTGGCAGGAATTAAAAAAATACAGATATAAATGCATTTTTGTAAACATTGTTCATATGATATTGTTTAGCAAAACAATTCGTGTATATTGCAGATTAACAAAGCATATAAACACTGTGCGTATTGCTGTGTTTGTTTTTCTACATTGGCTATAGGTAAAGAGGGAGGGTTGAGATCCCACAAAACATGTTTAACCCCGCCGCATTTTTACGCCTGTGGCCTTTCTTAATCTTGTATGTTTTTTTTTAACTTTAGTTCATTTATATATTTCGAAGTTTAGTATGACGTCCATTATCACTGAACTAGTACACATTTTTGTTTAGGGGCCTGCTAAAGCACGTCTCCGGGTACGGTATTTTCTCGCTGAGTTGACCCATTGGTAGCCTTCGGCTGTTTTCTGCTCTTTGGTCGGGTTGTTGTCTCTTTAACACATTCCTCATTTCCATTCTCAATTTTACGTATATTCAATATTAAATATCAGTGTGAAATATATGCATAACGAAACGTACATGAATTAATGACAGTTGATCGGAACTGAAATACACATAGTTAATTTTCCGGCATTTGATGTCTTATCTTGAGACGAGAAAAGTCTGTAATTCTTTATCTCATGTAAGCAAATAGCTGTTGCTGTTTCTCAGCCGCATCATAAAGCAACCAAGCAGAATACATGTGTGATAAGTAATTATTTCAAGATGGCGTGTATGTCGAATGAAACTAATAGCTCCGCACCGTGATGCGAGGCAATCAATGACGCTCGAACAAAACAGATTTATTAACCAAATAAAGTACGAGGTTAAGGAGCATTGAAGACCCAAATATTCTGAAAGGTTTAACCTTATACAGATAAGGGAATCTAATTATCGGATAAACAATTCTTAGTAATTCGAAAAATTCAAGTTTTGTAACATATGGCAAAACCAAAGGTACTTCATTCATATGATTTGCACCACGTGACTTTGGCCCTTTTGATTAAATTACTTCCCTTAGTTTAAGATTGAAAATATAAATTATATCAAATTTGCGGATATTTCAGTCTTTTTCCGTCATTGATCTAAAACTAGTGTGTCTTTGAAAACTTCCTTTGGCGGATATTTATAAAAATGTTGTGTAATTCTAAGGACAAATGCTTAAAATTCAACTTGTTGCGAAATGGGAAGGTTGAAATCATCATGATTTTAAAAGAATTTGGCCGAAAAGCAGGTAAGTTAAAAGTTATTTAACTTTTAAAATTCAACCTACAACGTGTTTCCCTCTACGTGGACAAATCATGAACAATATCTTCTTGCATCTGCATTTCTGTTTCAAATCTTGCTTTTTTACGATTTTTCGTTATTTTATATAGCAATTATACTACGGTTACGCTTCCGATTTTCAAACTAAAAAGGCCGAAAGTTTTCAAAGTAGACAATGTTCATTTGTACACGGAACGAAACATAAAACATGTACAATTCTCCTATATGCAGAAAAATTATTGATTCGACATAGGAATTGGCATATTGGCATTTTTATTTAAGGGGCATATATAATCCTATTGTAATGGCTGCCTTCATGAGATGATAAAATGGCCGCTATGCAAATTAGCAAAGTACCCCAAATTGTGCCATATGAACAGTTAATTTGATGATTATTACTATATAAATACTAATTTATTTCAACACAAAAGTGCTCACAACCGGGCCGAAAT